TGCTGGCTCCATGCTTTGCCCTGCTGCGCCCTGTTGGTGCCTCACACCCGTTGCTGCCCCCTGCCGCTCCCTTTGGCGCCCACCCACCTCCCCTCCGTCCGCCCCTCCCCCCGGCAGTATTGCGACCGGGGCAGCTTGCAGCGGGCCATTGACAAGCAGCTGTTCCGGGCCTCCAGTCGGTGGAGTGCTCGGGTGGCGCTGAGAGCCATGTTGAGGACAGCCAGGGAGATTGCGCAGGTGGGGGGGAGCTGTGGGTGGGGGGGAGGGGTATGGGGAGGGAGGGAGGGAGGGGGATGGGAAGGGAGCTTAGACGGGTGATACAAAGGGGGGGGAGACGAGACGAGACGAGGGAGGCCCCTGTCAGGCAGCTTCTCGTTAAAGGGCTACCATTAAGCGGCTCTGTGCTCCAACCCCTCCTGCAACCCATAGCTCTGTTCCGCGTGTTTGCCTAGGGCGGCCACAACCTGCCTTCCCCCATTATTCCCCTTTCCCCCTCCCCCCCTAAGTGTTCCTCTCCTGCGTTTGTGTTGGACGTGAACTTGCAACGTACATACAAACATACGCACACACGCATGCAGGGTATGTGTCACCTCCACGCCAGCCAGATTGTGCACGGTGACCTGAAGCCAGCTAACGTCCTGCTCAAGAGCAGCCGGTCGGACAGGAGGGGCTTCATTGCCAAGGTGGGGAGGGAAAAGAGGGGTGGCGCGGTGGATGGGTGGATGGGCTCCTCCCCGCAGAAACAAACATACATACATGCGCAAACATTCCAACGGAGGAAATTATGAAAACACCCTCTCGCCTTTCCCCTCCTCACACACACACGCACCCTCCCTTTCCTCCCCCCCCCCCCACACACACACGACACCCCCCCCACACACACACACGCACACATGCAGGTGGCTGACTTTGGTTTGTCCAAGATATTTCCGGTGTCTGAGCGCTCCCTGGAGTGCCACACGGACGCCACCGGCACCATCGCCTACATGGCTCCGGAGGTACTCAACGGGTCCATGAGCCCGGCGGCAGGTAGGGGGTTGGAAGGGGAGGGGAAGGGGGAGGGGGGAGGGGAGGGGAGGAGGGGGGCCACAAGAAATGATCCGCCGGCGTCCCAAAGGGAGGGGCAAAGGGGAGGACAGCCACCAAATATTATAACGCAACCAACCAACAGCAGCAGGGAGCAGCGGATGACTTCCAAAGCCGCAGAGGGGAGAGGGGGAAAGGGGGTTTGGAGTGAGTGGTGGGGAGGGGAGCTAGGGGGGCGTGGAGGTCATGGCGGGGAGGGGCCAATCGTGTTGGGTGCAGGATGTCCCTATGCCCTGGTTGCGTTTTACTCACCTTTGGTCCGAAGGGGGGGCTTTCCATTTTCCTCCTCCCTCCCCCCGCATACACCGCCATCCCCTCACCCCATCCAAATGTCCAAGTATAAACTCTCTCGCTTCCCTCCCCAACCCCCTACCTCACCCCCCACTCAAACCCCACTCGCCTCCCCTCTACCCTTCTACCCCTCACACTGCATACACACACACGCGTGTACATGTACATGCATACATAATACAGACATTTACAGTTTCGGTGTGACGTTGTGGCAGCTGGTCACGGGGGAGCGCCCCTTCGCGGACATCCACCCGGGTCGCCTCTTCGTGGGGGTGTGCACCGGCGCCCTGAGACTGGACTGGCCGCAGGAGGTGCACCCCCTCATTCGGAAGCTGGGCGAGGCCTGCCTCAGCTTCAACAAGAAACAGCGGCCTAGCTTCACCAAGGTGGCCCGCGTGCTGGGGGTCATAGAGACAGTCGTGAGAAACGAAGGCGCCGCCGCCGCCGCCGCCGCTGCTGCAGCGGCAGCCAGTCTGTCCATTGGGGGGGCCCCGGGTGAAGGGACAGCAGCGGAGGTGCGGGGCCGCCGCGGCGGCGGCGAAGTGAACGCTTTCCCTAGTGGGGCCCTTGGGGCCAGCGGAGGGTCCACGCCCATGACGCCTGCCGCTGCCGCTGCCGCCGCCTCTCTGCCCTCGCTGCTGCCGGCCGGAAGCTCACTGCTAGTCCGCAACTCTAATTACAACGGTGGCTCATATCCGCAGCTCGACGGCTCCAGCGGCAGCAATTTAGAACCCGTACCTCGCAACCCGACAGCGACGTCGCCGGAAATTCTTCCAGCGGCGGGGGCGCAGCGCATATACAGCATGTTGCCGTACGGCGGGTTGCTCTGCCGCGGCGGCGATTGCGGTGCGGGCGTCGTGGCGGCCTGGAGTAGCGCACCGTCGGGGGCTCAGCTGCTGATGGCGCCCGTGGATAGCTGCGTGAGTGGTTCCGGAGCCGCGGGCGCGGCTGGCGGGACCTGGGGAACGACGCCGACATGGCCGGGTCATCAGCCCCCATTGGTGGTGCCGTCAGAGGAGATGCGCATGATGATGATGATGATGGCCGCCGGCATCATGCCGCCGCTGCCGCAGCCGGCGGCGGCAGCTGCGCAACAGCAACAGCAGCAACAGGCAACAGAACAAAATCTCTCCACATGCGCCGGGGGGGCAGCAAGCGATACGGCCCAGCCATGCTACAGAGCCGGATCCGGAGCCGATGCCAGCTACTCGAGTCATTTGTACGGCACCATGGGGCATCATGGCCCCGACCGCTCAGCGCAACACGTTCGGTACCCCTCCGCAGCGCTGTACGGTCCGTACAACAACATCAATCATCACACCTACAACCCCCCCAACCATCCGTACTACCACCCGGGGCTTCAACCCCCCCCACACCCACACCCACATTACCAGCTGCACCACCAAGACTTGCAGCACCACCCCCGGCCCCACCCCCACGCCCACGTCGGGCAGCACCAGCCGCTGCAGGACGGCGCTCAGTTGCCTTCAGAGGGCCGATTTCGATCGCTGGAGGACGGACTTGAAGCGGGGCAGCAGGGGCAACGGCACCAGCACGGCTACCAGCACCAACAACAGCACCAGGAGACGGAGGAGGAGGAGGAGGAGGAGGCGGGGGGGCCCAAGGGGGTGGGTGTATCATGTGGGTCGGAGCGGTGGAGCGGGGCGGAGGCGCGGACGCTGCGGAGGCCAGGAGCCCAGAACCCAACTGCGGCCCAACTGCTCCTGCAGCAGCAACAACAACAACAACAACAACAACAGAATCGGAGGGAGGAGGGTGGGGAGGAGGAACTGGAATTGCACCAGCACCAGCACCAGCACCAACAGCAGCAGCAGCAGCAGCAGCAGCTCAGGGCGCAGCAAGAAACGTCGGAGGCCGCCGGGCCGCACCCACGGCCCGCCCACCCGCAGACGGGGCCGGCACTCGCCCCGGCCGACTCGGCTGCACAGGCGGCTGCTGCTGCTGGTGCTGCCCTCCCGGGTTCCCCCCGGGGCGGGGGGGTGAGACAGACGGCTCACCCCCTGGAGTCATATGATGCGCTCCTCTTGAGCCGGGATGCCGTACCTCCCATTAGGGTAGGCAGTGGTGCGCCCGGGGACCCCCCAGCAGCATCACCACTGGCAGTGGCCGGTGCCTGCACTGACACTTCCCAGCAGCAGCACCAGCACCAGCACCAGCAGCCCCGACCGCCTACAGGGCCGATGGGGAGGGGGGAAGTTGCGCTGATGATGCCGGCACTGCTCTACGGTGGCCGTTTTGCGGCCGCGATACCATCAGAGAGCCGGGCCGGGGATGTGGCGGCCGCACCCGCACCCGCACCCACATCCGTACTTGCACGCAGAGATGCGGCGGCTGCTACCGTTGGAGGTGGCGGCGGCTGTGGCGGCGGCTCCTCGGTAACCGGGGGTGCGAGTTCCGGCGGCGGCGGCGGCGGCGGCGGCGGCGGTGCATCTCCGGGTCAGCATCCGCACCCGGGGGCCCGGGCAACTGACAACGGGAGCGGAAGCGGAAGCGGCGCCGATACCGCCGGCGGGCCGTTGGGCTTTGCCATGCTGCCGCCGCCGTTGCCACCGCTGCCGTACCTTGGCGCTCAGCACCATCCCGTGATCGCATCCCCGCTGGCGCTGTGCTCTAGCGGCGCAATGCAGCCGTACTTTATGCAGTACATGTCGTATATGAGCCCTGCAGCGGCGACTGCGAGAGTATACGGGATGGGCAGCCACGTGTGGCGGCCGCCGCCACCCGGCAACCCCGCCGATCTGTTAGCAGGAGCGGAGGAGGCCGTCACCGCCTCCGCCACCGCCACCGCCGCCGTCGCTGTCGGCGACAGAGACATCTCCTTTTTCTCTCTCGGCCTTAGCGGCTCAATCCCGTCGGTCGCGGCGGCAGCGGCGACGGGGCCAGCACCCTTGGCGGCAGCGCAAGCCGCAGTCATGGCGGTCAAACTTCCCGATAACTATTAACCGGTGTTCAAGACTGACTTGGAGGTTTGTGTGTTTATGTGTGTATGTATGTGTGTGTGTGTGCACTGTACCGTGTAATGCGGCTCGGATGAGGGTGGTGGTCGTAACCCTGCGGGGTGCACTCTGGTGGTGGTGGTGGTGATGTGATGTGATGTGATGCTGTTAACAGATTGCGGTGTTATGGTGTGGCAGTGTGTATGGATAGAGGTGAGGTGGAACGACTAACGGTCATCAGCCTTGTACGACCTTCCCACTCCCAACGAGGAGGAGAAGAGGAAGATCGGACATACATACATACATACATACACACATACACACCGAGAGACAGAGGAAGAGGGAGAGGGTGGCTTGCCGTCACGTCATCGTCACCGCACACCGCACTCACGCACCGGCGTGTCTATATGCGATATTCATTTGCGTATTTACGTTTGTAAATAGCGATGTAGGTACTGGCAGATGGAATGATGATCTAGGAGGGGGGAGTTTAATTTTGTATTGCGGCAAAACGGCACAACACTACAGCACCACGGCGCTGCACGGAGCTAAAGACACCGCAGCAACCTGTGGATGAGCGGTATGAACGGAAGGGGTGGTACGACGGGCGACGAGTACGGCACTATCGGGGTTTTTGAGTACGGCACTAT